TCATTTTCATCAGTCTGCGTCGTCATGGTGGTGTGCTTGGTCTCTCTCTCTCTCTCTCTCCCTCTGCACACACGCGCGCGCACACTCTTCGTGAGGCTGTGTGAACTCCACAAAATAAGCACGACTGTGCCAGACTGTTTCGTTGGACTTTCACCTACTAATCATCAGGAAGTTGAACCCCGACAGTCTGCCCACGAGTGCGTATTGTCTCGTTCGCGTATGTGCGAGTGCATGTTGCCTTGCCCGCTATTCAAAACAGGAAACTATGCCCCGCATGGTTTTTCCCCAGGCTGGCCGTCCTACGATGGGGCCACTCTTTTCAACGGCCGCGACGATCCAGGCCGCCCGCGGTCTTACTGGGCCGATGTCTCGGATCGTCAATTTTGGGTTCGGTGGTGGGTGGGGTCCTACTAGTGCACTCTTTCCATTTTTGTGGGTGGGGTCCCACACATGGAGGAATGGAGGAATGGAGGAATGGAGGAATGTATTACATGTGCGAGGCACACACACATGCAAGGAGTCCACGCTCCTTCAAAGACTCGCAATAAATAGCAATGGCAACGGCACATCGAACACGAGTGAACAGCAATTGCAACAGTACATCACCCTCAAGTTCCAGGGATGAGGTCCCATTTGCCCCGTTTTCACAAATAGAGGGTATGGTCATTATCCCTGTAAATATTGGACTGAAAAAGCATACGGTCATTATCGCTGTATTTGGACTGAATTTTACCCTAAATACAGCTATTGCTAGGAACAGCAATTGCAGTAGTAGTAGTACATCGCCCTCGAGTTCCAGGGATGAAGTCCCCACTTGCCCCGTCTTCACAAATACAAGGTACGGTCATTATCCCTGTATTTGGACTGAAAATCGCCCCACATACAGCTATTGCTACAAACAGCAAGTGCGACACAGCACATCAAACTCGAGTTCCAGGGGTTCGCTTCCGCTTGCCCCGTCTTCACCCGAATAGAACGTACGGTCATTATCCCCCTGTATTTGGACTAAAAGTTGCCCCAGATACAGCTACTGCTACGAACACCCAGTGCGACAGTATGGGCCTCGTTCGACACCACCACTTGAAAATACTTCCCGAGTTTCACGGAAGCATCGTTCCACCCCTCCCTAATTACATCGATTTGGATGTCCTGAATGTTTCCACATTTTGCATCTACATCGATTTGGATGTCCTGAATGTTTCCACATTTTGCTTCTACATCGATTGGGATGTCGGGAATGTTTCCACATTTCGCATCTACATCGATTTGGATGTTCGCAATGTTTCCACATTTTTCATCTACATCGATTTGGATGTCGGGAATGTTTCCACATTTTGCATCTACATCGATTTGGATGTCCTGAATGTTTCCACATTTTGCTTCTACATCGATTTGGATGTCGGGAATGTTTCCACATTCTGCATCTCAAAGGTCCGCCTTTGAAACTCAAGTGCGGCCCAGCCAAAAAAAACAACGAAAATCTCAAGGGAGCCTCGGGAGGTCACTTGACGCTCAAGCGCCAGACCCTTCATACGGAACTTCATTTTCTTTCTTTTTTATTTTTTATTTTTTATTTTTTATTTTTTATTTTTTATTTATCATTTACACCAATCACCACTGTTCCTGGTGCAATGTCGTCAGCAATTCAGTTTCAAGGGCGGCCGTCTCAAGGGTTTCGTCAAAGGTGGTGTGGAACGAAAAGACGAGTTATGGGAAATTAATCACCCTTCGTGAGTTAGGGTGATAATTAATCACCCTTCGTGAGTTAGGGTGGCAATTAATCACCCTTCGTGAGTTCGGGTGCCCTTGAAACTCGGTCAAGTATTGTCAAGTGGTGTAGAACGAGGCCCTATATCACACTAGGAAGCCCCCTCTTCACCCGAACGGCACGTACGGTAATTATCCCTGTATTTGGACGAAAAGTTGGCCCAAATTCAGCTATTGCTACGACCAGCAGGTGGCCCAAATTCAGCTATTGCTACGAACAGCCAGTGCGACGGTATATCACACTCCAGGTAATGAGCTTCCGCTTGAAGCGTCTTCGCCCAAATAGAACGTACGATTATTTTGCCGTACTTAGACTGGAAGTTGCCCTAAATACACGCATAATGACCGTGCGTTCTATTTGGGGGAAGACAGACAGGTAGGTTCTTCATTCCGAGCTGCATTTTATCAACAACTACCAGAAACACAGAATCCAGGTAAGTAGGACCGAACCTCATCAACTTGAATAGACCGCAACTTACGATCCAGGTCACTGTAGCCGTATTTGACGCAACTTACAATCCAGATACAGCGGTAATGACCTGCCGTTCTATTTGGGTTTTCGGGTAAAGACCCTATTCCCAGCTGGCCCATCTGAAGTTGACAGACACCTCAAAACGATGACAGAGACCGGCGTTCTATTCGGGTGATAGACGACAAATTTTCAGAAGAGAAAGCAAGTAACTGAGTACGGCAGAGTACTAAGCCGAAACAAGCAGGGTCTCGTTGGACGTTTTCTGGACCCGATACATTCAAAATTTTAGACTCGTCCGAATGCACCTGGTCCACCACCCATCCAAATGCATGTAGAGGGTTGCGTAGTGGAGCAAGGCCCGCAATATGCACAACGCTGATGCTCATGTACTTCGCGGGGGAGGAGCCGTGAATTCACTGCAGTAGAGAGACAGGCAAGCAAAACGACAAGGAAGAGGATTCTGGTGGCGAGAAAGAGAGGAGAGGAAGAGGAAGAGAAAAAGGCCTAGAGCGCAAAAGGGGGGAAGGGGGCGAAGAGAAAAGGAGGAACGAACTAGGACGAAGACGGGACCCCGGGGAGGATGAAAGCGAAAAAAAGGAAGCATGGTGACGTAAGATAAGGGGATAACGGAAGCAGGGGGAGAGAAACCGGAGAGAAAGAAACGAGGAGAAAGGAAGGGAGAGAGAGAGAGAGAAATGCAAGACGAAAACCGACGAGAGAGGCAAGTAGACGGGCAAAGGTCGAGGGAGAGAGGTCGAAAAAATAAAAGAGAGGTAATGCAGGACGTACCATAAGAGAGAAGATTATGAAAAGCGAACAACGGAATAACGAGGGAGATGACACAAGATGTAGGAAGATCGGCAGGGAGGAGATGACGGCAGAGAAGAGAGTGGCACGGAGGTGATGGCGGAAGTGAGGAGATTGAGTCAAGGATGAGACAACAGCAGCGAGGAGATGAAGGAGGTGCGTTGATCGCGGGGACGAGATGAACGGCGGAGAGATAGGCGGGAAAGAGAAACGCGTTAGAACGAGGAAAGAGGGCAAGGGAGTACGAATGAGAAAAGTGGGCAGAGAGTGTAAGAGGTAATGGACGAGGGCTACGAGAGAAATGAGACAGGAGATAACCGAATGAGACTGGAGATAACCGAAGGGAGCGCCGAAGACATGAAAAGGAAGGGAGGAGAGAGAAGCGTGAAGGCGACGAGGGCGTAGGGCGGAGAGAGGAGCAGGGGAGGAGGAAGAGAGGGGGGGGGGCGGAGGTAAAAAGCAAGTCAGGAGAAACATAGCCGTCCGGCAGAGGGAAAAGAGAAAGCAAGGACACTGAGGGATAGAAAGGAAAGGAGGAATGGAGGAAGACGAAACAGAGAGGAAAGGCAGAGGTGAGAGTCAGAAGGGATACGAACAGAAGAAATGGAAAGGGGTGAGAGAGAGAGAGGTGTAGAAAAACACCATTGCATACGCCTGCTCATGGGGGCGTAAGGCAGGTCGTTTTGGATGAATGGGGGAGGGTTGGGAAGGGAGGAAGAGAGGCCTAGGCGTCAGGGAAAGAGGAGCTCCTACTCTCCGATAGAGAGAGAACGTATTGGTCACACTAGTGATTACACAAACGCGACTAGAGGCATCGTAAACCTACTCTCCCAATTCCTCCTCCCTCGTCAATACCTTTCTCCACTCCACTCGACTCCGTTGAAAGAAAGAAAAGAGGCCATATTCAACCCCCCCCCCCCCCCCCCCCCTAAAAAAAGCACACATAGGGTCTCGCCGCACGGCACACGAAACGAAAACGAAACGAGTGCATCTGCCCACGAAGGGGGGCAAAATACACTGGCTACTGTTTATAGCAATCCGATGAAACTGGCCATTCCCTGCAGGAAGATGCACTCGTTTCGTTTATCGCTTCGTGTCCCGTGCGGCGACGCCCATAGGAAAGTCCGGCGGAAGGATGATAAGACGCTCGACTTCTCTGCCTTCTTCACCCGAATAGAACGCCCGGTCATAACGTTGATGCATCTGGACTGATAAATACAGCTGCAATGACCTGACGCGTTCTATTTGGGTGAAGACGGCAGGGGGCGAAGGGTAGGTAAACAGGCATCGTTGGGCCCCTGCCGTCTTCACCTGAATAGAACGCCCGGCCATTATCGCTGCATCTAGAGGGAAAATTGCCTCAAATGCGGCTGTAAGAGGTGAGAGGGAGAGGGGGAGGGGGAGGGAGAGAGGGAGAAAGGGGGGTAGAGACGAAGGAGAGAAACAGCCACAACGAGAGGAGGAGAGTTCGAGGAGGAAGAGGAAGAGAATGGGAGAGTAGAGTAGGGGAGGAGGAAGGGGAGGAAGGGGAGAAGGAAGGAGAGACAGAAAGGCGCTCCCACGACGGCATTACCCTATCCTGTTACGCTATCAGAAGAGATAGATATCAGAAATCCGCTCCTACGATGACGTTTCCCTCTTCCCCCGAATAGAACGTATGTCATTATCGCTGTATCTAGACCGAAATTTGCCCCAAGTACTGATACACTGATCGTACATTCTATTCGACGTAAGACGGTAGCGTCTGCAAAAGCCACCAAACAACCTTCACAAAAGACATCGGCAATGAGAAGACCGAATACCGAGATAGTAGAAACGAGGGGGGAAAAGGAAGAAAGGAACACAAGACATATCCATACGAACCTTAGGCCCAGGTCCCTGTTTCTATAGGAAACCAACATAAGAAGAAAAAAAACATATCAATCGCGGCGATATGATGATTACAAAGCTGCGTGCGGAGATGGGCATAAATAGAGAGCACTGAGCACTACAGGTAACTAAACGGAGTAAGCAAAACAAGGAAGAGGGGGAGAAGGGAGACAGCGAGACAGAAGAAGAAACAGAAGAGGACGAGGAGGGGGAGGAGGGAGATAGCGAGACAGAAGAAAGAGTAAGAAGAGCTGCAAAAAAAAAAAACGAAGGAAATGACCACAGCGTCAGAGGATAACAAAGGGCAACACAAGTAGAGGAGAAGAGCAGAAAGAGAAGAGGGGAACTGAAGAATGAGGACGAAGCGAAGTGAAGTGAAGACAAGGAGCAGCAAAGCCAAGTACAGAGGAGTGTAGAAAACACGAAGCGATTTTTATAAAAGAAGTACAAAACACGAAGCGATAAAGGGTGACCTAGGAGACGAAGTGAGAGAGAGAGAAGGAGGAATCAAAACGCTAATTACAGGCAAAGGGGAGGACGAAAACGCGCACAGGAAGAAGGAAGGAACGACGGAAAAGAAAGAGAAGGAGAGCGAGGATGGAGAAAGGGTGAACACATAGCAAGAGAAAGGATGACAATGAAGTCGACCACGCAGATATGGACGCGACCGACAGCGAAGGAGAAGATAAAGATGACGAGGATGACATGCAGGGGGGGAGGAGGGAAGAGAAGGGGAGGAGGAGGAGACAGGAGTTAAGAGAAGGAGAGGGAGGAGAGGGGAGGAGAGGGAGGAGAGGGAGGAGAGGGAGGAGAGCGAAGAGGCGGAGGACAGGGAGGATAAGGTAGAGTAGTAGGGGAAGAGGGACGACAAGAGAGGAAGGGCAACTTCACAAATGTAAATGTCTAACAACAATGTCAGGACACGAAGAAGAGGAAGAAGAAGAAGTGGGAGGAAGGAGGAGGGGAGGGGGAGGAGGAGGAGGGGGAGGAGGGAAGGCCGAAGTACAGTAGGAAAAGAAAGACGACAACAGAGGGAAGGGCAAGAGGAGCAGAACTCTAGATGTCGAAGAACGATGCAAGCACACTAAAGACGGCCGACAAGGCCGAGCTGGATTGAGAAGAAAGCAAGAGGAGCAGAGATGACGTACCTGGATTACTTATGGCTAATCAGCCAAACGAAACGGAACGGAACGGAACGGAACGGAACGGCACGTCAGCAAACGGAATTCCGGAAGGGGAGATCGAAGCAATAGATCACGGAAGCGAGAGGCTTTCCGATGTCCTCCGAGTCTACCACAGCCGTCCTCTCAGACCCAGAAGAGAGACGGAAGAAGAAGAAGAAGAAGAAGAAGAAGAACCCAAACAGCGCACTGCTACCGATATCAGAGGCTAGAGGATCCCCGCCCCCCCAACGGTTACCGCGCCAGACTGCTAGCCTGCTAGGCCCTATAAGTAGGACGGGGATGAAACGTTTTCCCGCCAGAGAATTGCCGGGAACAGGCGGGAACAGGCGGGAACAAGCGAAAAATTTCGTGACCTTAGGGATTGCCGACAGATGCAGGACTGCTAGACAATTGGCGGGAACAGGCGGGAACAAGCGAAAGAAATGTGATGTGACCTTAGGAATTGCCGACAGATGGCGGGGACAATTGGCGGGAACAGGCGGGAACAGGTGAAAAAAATGTGACCTTAGGAATTGCCGACAGATCCAGGACTGCTAGACAATTGGCGGGAACAGGCGGGAAGAAGCGAAAGAAATTTGACCTCAGGAATTGCCGACAGATGCAGTACTCTGCTCTAGCAAAGTGCGTTTCGAGCAAATATAAGAGATGGCGGGAACTGTTTGACTCGCTGGCTATGGCGGCCGAGCGCGGGAAACGGCCAACCAATGGCTGTCCGACGCGCTAGCGATGGCGCCCGAATCGCTGGAGAGGAGGAGAATACAGCGCCGCCACGATGCGTCAAGGTCAAGGGTGTGGACTCCTCCGTGGTTCTCGGTAGCCCTCGGCTTTCCCAGCCGCCAGATCTCTGCGCACACCCTTGAGAAACAACAATGGGACGGAAGGAGGGGTAGCAGTAATAGCCCCTCTAGGCGGTCTAATCTACCCTAGAACGGGGAACTGACGGGGAAGGTTCTGAGAGGTTCTCAACCGGGGTGGACTTGGGGGGGTGGGAACGAAGATTCTGAAGGGGGGTCAGAACACAATACCCTGAGACATGAATTGCCCAGCATAACGGTCAGGTACCCTACTGGCTTTTCCTGGTTTGAAAGCGAGAAATCCATCCCTAAAGGGGTAGCAAATCATAGCCCTTCTACCCAAGAACGGGCAAGAGCCAGCCAACGGTGCGATTACCTTTGTTGCACAACTCGCCATCGGCCAGCATTTTGGATGCATCTCGACATGAAATCCGAACACAGATGGATCCGAAATCTTTTTTTTTTGGGCCTTGGAAATTCTATTTCGAACGGGCCCAGAGCCCAAGGCTTACATCAATCAAGTGACAAAAAATGGTTCAAGCATTCTAGAGGCCTCGAACCCGCAACCTGTGGTATAATCACACAGGAGCCCAAACCACCTGGGTCACAATGAAGTGTGCCAACACCCCAATTTTCTGCGCACAATATCAACAATCTCAGCATCCAGTACATCACACTGGAAATGAGCCTTGCTGGGTGGGGCACCTGTGGTTTATGCTGCAGCCCAGGCTTACAGACCTCCACGTATAGCCGCCCTGCGGAGATCCAGGTACCAGGCTCGAGTGTTGCTGCCCGAGTGGATGCTTAGGGCCCAGGCTGCTGGTTCCCTGTACGACCTAAGATGGATGGTGCTCGGCTGAAGGGATTATTGAGCTCACTGTCTAGTGCTAGGACCAGGTTGTAGTTGGCGCCTCTCTGCGGCATCTGTAGGGACTGGATCTGCACTTGCTGTGTGCGGCCTAACAGTGGGCTACAATGCATTCCCGCATTAGGGTTAGGCACCCTTGGGTGGAATGGCCCAATAAATTGTACCCGTTGCGGTTAGGCGGTTCATGATGAGGGTGTATCGGTTGTTCACAACACCTCAGGGGACCAAAGATGACGCCTGGGCGCTTCGGTGTCGTAAAGGTCTCACAGTTCGAGTTACCCTCGACCACTATTTCTGCAGTCAGGTGGGCTGCTACCGGCGCTCTTGAGTTGAACTGCCGATTGACCTAGCTTGAACGTGTACAACTTGAAACAAACAAAAATCGAGAGGTCACCTGGCCTCGGATGCTGCTCCCCGGGCCAAGCCTGTGCAAAAAACCAATTCCTCCTTCACATCGCTCCCCAAAATTCAACAAAATTCTGGAGTTGCCCTATAGTTGACCACACAATCACGAACTGCGCTCTTGAGTTGAACTGCCGATTTACCTTAGCCTGAACGTGTACAACTTTAAACAAACAAAAATCGAGAGGTCACCTGGCCTCAGACGCTGCTCCCCGCGCCAAGCATGTACAAAAAAACAATTCCTCCTTCACATCGCTCCCCAAAATTCAACAAAATTATGCCCTATAGTTGACCACACAGTCACGAACTATTTCCCAAGGGAATTCTAAATCACCGCAAATAAAACTCACTACTTGTATTTTAGAGAGAGGGTTAACGGGGGGCCAAATATTTGTCGTTTCGCCGGTCACATCACGTACCCTAAATCACATATATGTCGTACAAAAAGAAAAGAAAAGAAAAAAAATAAAAAATCAGCATAATGTGACAGTTTCGGTGCAAAATAACACCCCTGGTTAACCACATGTGTAACACTTTTTTTTCCCCAAAATTGCACATCAAAATAACTCTCCAAAAAGATGACCTCAAAACCTTAAATTCCAAAAAAACTAACCCAACTTTTCGTGATGCACCGAAGGAAACATACCATTTTTTTTTTCGAAAATACACATAAAAACAACGATCAACATAACTGACCCAACTTCTCGTAATACATTGAGGGAAATATTCACTACCTACGTAAGTTTAAAACCAAAAAAAAAAAAAAAACTATAAAGTATCAAGCCTCCACAATACATATGTTAGTAAAGAAATCATTGTAAAACAAAACTCGCTAAAGCCTGTTATCCCCATTAAAAAACAAAGTTCACAATAACATATGAAACAAAAGTTTCATTCACGTCTTTCATCGGTTTGAAGTTGCATACAACATCTGTTTCATAATAGTTACACAGACCGCCTTTATGTCAAAGGACGGAGCAAGTTGCATGACTTCACATTGTGGTTTTCCGAAGAAGGGAAAAAAAAAAAAAAAAAAAAAAAAAAGGCGACTCGCTTGCATCACGTTACAACTAATGACAAACGAAGAACTTACAACAGACCAACAAGAAACCATTAATTGTGAGCAGATACTTACTGCCACACCCGGTTGTGATAGATTGTACGCGTAATCAACACGTCACAAAGAAGGCAAAAATCAGAGATAACATCACATACGATATGCCACACAGAACCGACCTCATACAACGGCAATAAAATATGCTACACCGCAACTTGAAAAAACACTTATGCTGAAAAAGCTAAGTTATAGACAATGGAATAATATTATATATTTCATGTACGATCTTCGCATTTCAGGCCACATGCACAAAAAATAACTTGGTCATAACTCCATGTAGCATCTAAAGGGTGGTGAAGAAAAACCTTGCTGCACTGCGACACTCAACACCCGCTCTCAACCCCAGCTAAGCAGAAAACTCAACCCGCCATACTGGTCAATCCCCTCTCATACACGCGAATGAAAACATCCGTCATGGGTCGCCAAAGATAGTTGTGTAGGGTTGCTTAGCCTCGAGCAAACGGCCGTGCCGTTGTCAAATATAACTTTGGACTTTTGCGTTAGACCGCTTAATCAAGCGCCGTCATCGCCGTCCCCCTCCGATGGGTTGAAAACTTAGTGGATGGCAAATGGTGCAACACGGCTTTTGGGCTCTATCATAATAACTTACTGGAAAGGGTTTGGAAGTACCCCTGACAATAACTTTGCAACGAGATAACAACCACTTGAATTTGGTTTCAAGTCGTGGGCCTTTGACGTTTATGCGCAGTCGTGGGCCTTTGACGTTTATGCGCAACAACGTTCGAGTGAAGAAAGACCCGGTAGTGCGACAGGGAGAAAGTTAGTCGGCCAAAGAAAAATAAGTACTAGTAAATGAACCGCAAGTTGTCTTGTTGGTTTATGTCATGCACGTAGGAAAAAATCCACAGACACTGAAAGCAGTGAGATACAAATGAAAAAGAAAACGAATGTTTCAAGGCATTTTCGTGCTAACAATTTACAAAATGTATCGAATTTTTAATGTGGCATTATACATTCAAAAATAGAAGTCAAGGATCATTGGATTATAAATTTTCTTAGAAGTTGCAATCCTCATCATTAGTGTATCTGACCTTTTCGACATATTTATACATTTGAGCTCAAAACTGGCATTGAGTGAATGTACGTGACCTTATTTATTGAGCCTGTTTATAAAATAAAAATTAAAAAAAATGAAGACACTATAATGAGAAAAATGTGTTTCATAAGGTCACACTTACAACAGTACTTCGCAAAACGTATTTGTCCACTACTTTGGCAATGTTCATATAATGTTGTTTTTTCTTTCATTTCGGCAGGATGCATTTCACGAACAACGGACATTCGCTCACGGAGTGCATACTCATACTAATGTTTCCAATAATGCATCCATGCATCCAACTATGTACCATCAAATTGTTTTCTTTCATGAATCTGACCATGTTGCTTTGATACCCTCGTCGATAACATATTCACGCAAGTACTTCGCAAAGTGCATTACGTCTGTAGAGGGTAGTTTATGATTTTTTTTAGTCCTCATTATTTTCGAATGCAGTTGCAGTAATGAAAATTAATTTCATAAAAGTATCAAAAAATTAGTTAATTTTATGATTAAAAATAATAATAAGAATAAGAAAAATATGAAAATAAAACAAAATAGGAACTAGACTCGATAAAAATCGTTGCACAGTGAAATTTATATTCGATAAAAACACAATTGTAGTAGTGATTGCTTAATATAACTTGTAGTTATATTAAGAAAAATAAGTTTCGAAAGAATTGCTTAGTTGAAGGGAGATCGACTGATGACGCTCGATTTTGCGCTACTCGGTAAGCTGAGTCCACCAAGCGGCGTGCCTCATAATGTTGTCGTAGCAAGCACCTTTACAATGGTATTTGTTGTGTTTTTTACAGATCATAGAGGGTGGGGTCGTAACTACGGGAGGACTAATGGACACGTTACCTCTCGTTATAACGCATGCCTCGACAACCTTAGCCATGACAAAGATTGAGAGAGAATAAAGTATGTGTTAGTGCCAACGCCCATTATTACGTCGTGTGGTAGGTAGTCGGATAGTCGTCCACCACCAAGGTCGATGAGCGAATCCGTGAGCCCGCGCGATAACACACGAACGAGATGACTTCAATTGTTTAGGCTTGTCGTGCATGTGGGGCGTGTGCGTATGGGCATTTTGACTGCCCACCGCCATAACGCGCCGTCGTGACGTTTCGCTCAATTTAGCTTTGGTCGTTGTGCCGAGACTAAGTCCGCATATTTTAGCAAAAAATACATGCTTACTGGACCAACCTTTGTTGGAGGATTTAAGCGGAAATACTTCGACAAAAAGACTGAGCATGCGCGTGATCAAAACGGGCTTTGCTTATGTAAGACGAGGCAACTACTTGAGTTCACGCAAACACATTCCTGAGGAGTGGATTGCTCATTATATGCAATTCATTCTTGACTTTATTTTTTTATTTTTTTGTTTTTTTATTTGGTCGGGTCGAATTAACAAAATCGTCTATAGGTAAAAACAAAGATTTAAACCCTTACTGCCTCGATAAAAGGCTATATTCTCATAATGCACGAAAGGCGCAGCCTTTGAAAGGCACCCCAGTGTAAAAACGAAGGCTGACAGACCCCTTGATCCGTTGGTGCACGTCGATATGACCACAATACGAGTTTTTTCTTGTTTCAACGAGATTTGACGCGAGGAGGAGATATTCATAATTTTTTTTGCATCAAGCCACACCAACCAAGGGCC